AAAACTTTAAAAAAAAAAAGTCATTCAAGACACAAACTAAGCATTATGTTAACGAGTGTGTCACACCTCATTAGCACCATAGAGGTGAGGACCCATCACATGGAGAACAGCCATAGCTGAGCTGTGGCCAACACAATTCCATCCGGAACAGGATGGTCATGAAAGCCCTTCCTCACAGGTTCCATGTGGAGATTACGCAGTGGGGGCTCAAACATCAGGTTCCTCAATCCACCTCACAAACCACAGCTCCCGCCAGTCAGCCCACTCGGGTCCTGGATGCTACAGCTGGAACCATCAACCCCTCACGGACTTCTGGTGAAACATCCAAAAATAAATAAATAAAATAAAACCCAATGCCATCAAGTCCGTTCCAATTCACAGCAACCCTTCAGGACAGAGCAGAGCTGCCCCATAGGGTTTCCAAGGCCATGATTCTGTAGGATAGGCACTTGGGCTACCAACCGTAAAGTTGGCAGTTCAAGACCACCAGTCACACCATGGTGTGAGGCTGTCTGTTCATGAAAAGATGCATAGGCCTCAGAAACCCCATACAGGGTCACTATGAGCCAGAACTGACTTGATGGCACTTAACAGCAAGCAGGCTGCCACATCTGTCTTTCTCCCACAGAGAAGCTGACAGGTGCAAACTGCTCACGTCTCCATTAGTAACTGGGTGCTTAACCACTACACCAACCAGGGCTTCTTAGAAAATGTTGTTGTTGTGTGTCTTCGAGTCAGTGTCAACTCATCGCAACCGTGTATAGGGTTTCCAAGGAACGGCTGGTGAGTTTGAACTGCCATCCTTGTGGTTAGCAGAACAGTGCTTGTCCTACAGCACCATGCCAGGACTCCTGAGAACACTGTTGTTGTTGTTGTTGTTGTTAAGTGCTGTTGAGTCGGTTCTGACCCATAGCAACCCTATACAGGGTTTCCATGGAGCAGAACTGTAAAATACACACTGGATTTTCAAAATGTGCAAACAACAGCAAAGATAACGTCAATATAGGCACGCACCTTTGCTACAAAAATATCCATGGATGTGATAGAGAATACAGGGGAAAGTTATGAAAACTTTAGACATAAAAAGGATGAGTCCCTGGGCCTAAAGGATCAGAACCACAGTGCTAGAAGGTACCGAGACCAACTGGAGCAGCACAGTCCACAAGGACAGTGTTCTACATCCTACCTCAGTGAGTAGCGACTAGGATTTTAAAAGCTCATGAACCTGAAGAGCAATGACTGTACGCCTGCCTCCAAGTGTGCTAGGGAGATACATCTTCCATCCTCTTACTGACTTCTTCCCATGGTCCTGGTCTTTGATGACACTGAAATACAGAACACAGGATCAGATGCTAAACTGATATTCATCTGCAGACATGGGAAGCAAGATGTATCTCCTTGACATACCTGAGTTTTAGCAGTGAAGCAACTAATTTGCTTCTGAAGGCTTTTCTGTTCATATATTGTTAACTTCTACATTAGTGAATGGCAAACTGGGTGTGGGTACAAAGGGCTTCTGCTGTGAGTCTCCTAATAAACTGATTTCATGTTGCATTTAAAAAAAAAAAAGCTCATGAGTGGTTACGTAAAGTGCAAGCTATTGGCTTCTCCCTGTTTGGAGGAAAGAAGAGTGATAAAAATTGAAGACGCATGGGAAGAATTACTCCAATGGATGAATGGATCATGTGACCATCAGTCTCCATGACCCAAAGATCAGAAGAACTAGATGGTGCCCGACTACCATTACCAACTTTTCTGAGAGAGATCACATTAGAAGGTCCAGGATGCTGATTGTGTCTCTCCCACTGTGGTCAGTTGAGTATGGTCCCTGAAGATGTATATGTCCTAATCCCCAGAACATGTTACCTTCCGTGGTAAAAAGGGGCCTGTGCCAATGTGATTAAGTTAAGGGTCTAGAGGTGGGAGGTCATCGTGGATTATCAGTTGGGCACCAT